ATACTTTCAAGGGAGGTTTTGACTTCCTGTATTATAGACTTCATTTCTAACAGTTCCGTTTGACTCTTTTGTAAAACATGTAATTCCTCTTTTAGATCTTGCAAGAATTTCCTCACCTCCTGGAACTCGTCAACTTCTTTCTCCTTTCTCTTTAGCAGTTCATTGTCTCTCTTCTCTTCCATCTCAGTTAGCTTTGCCATTATGAATGCTCTAAATTCCTTATCAGACATTTCCATGATTTGCATTGAACTGCTTGTGGGTGAAGAGGAGTTATTCTTTTCCCTTGGAGGATAGGTATTTTCTTGCTTTCCCATACTTCTTGTGGTCCTGCGTTGATTTCTTGTCATCGGATGGATGGTGTGTTTCCTTCGAATTCTTGAAGTTCAATCATGCTAGCTTTGTTTGCTGGAGGCAGAATTATCTGTAGAAAATCTTCATTTCTCCTATCCCCTGAAATGACTAGTTTGCAGGAGCCATGAGGAATCTTCTTTCTTCTTCTGAAGGAAGGCCTCAACTCTCCTGCCATGCTACCTTTGTTTTCTGGAGGCTGAATTATCAGTAGAAAATCTTCATTTCTCCTGTCCCCTGAAATGACTAGTTTGCAGGAGCCATGAGGAATCCTCTTCTGAAGGAATGACCTATGCAAATTCTGTTTGGAGACACACTTGCTGCCAATTTAGAAAATTTTCCAAGTCAGAAAACTGGGTGTACTTTGCTCCAATATGTTGATGACTTTCTGTTTGCTCAGGGGCTTTTGATCTTAAAAAAAACAAACAAGCAAACAAACAAACAAACAAAAAACTTTTGAGAATGTATCAATATAAGATACTATACAACATAAAACTTTTTTAAAAAAAAGTTTTAAAAAACTTTTTAATTAATTAAACTAATTTTTCAAGTAAATAATGATTTTATTTTAAAAAACCCTTAAAAATCACTAACTTCTCATTCCTTATGTCTTTATAGGGAGAGCCTGGAGTCAGAGGCCCTCCAGGTCCCTCTGGGCCTCGAGGCATTGGTATTCAAGGGTCAAAGGTGAGTCTTCAGGTCTGTGCTCTGTGTGAGGGCCAGATAACATCAGGAACAACCAAGTAAACAGTTCATAATTATTCATTTTGGCATTGTGTTATTTTTCTCAATTATTGATGAAAAGTCTTATTTTTTTTTATATCATGCAAGTTTTTAGTAAAATAGATTGTTACAGTTTATAAAGTCTGCATTTACCCTCTCCATCCCTCAATGGGAAAATTGGCCAAAGTGCTCACGATATTTCTAGGTTTCTTAAAGGTTGTATTAGCCTTAGGAAGCACATCTTTACTCAAGCCAGAGCTGCCTCAGGTAGCCTTTCAGCAGCTGTCCAGCTGGTGCATCCATTGTGCCATTTGTACTATATCTACACTGTCAGAGCCTCAGAGTATGGATCTAGATGAACTGAACCCATAGATGATGAGCAGAACTTCCTTTGACTCTCTTTGTCCTCATTTCTTCCTTTTGGATCGTCCAGTTTGGTGATTATTTATCCTTTTATTTATTTATTTTTTAAAAATTATTTTATTTCATTTTATTCATTGTCATTATTTTGTTTTATTTCTTTAAAGTTGATTGGAGAGAGAGATAGGGAAAGTGAGAAAGGAAGCTATCAGGCCAGGGACTTGAACTGTGGTCAGCCATGTGGGAGTCCAGCCGCCTTAACCACCACACCACCTGCTGGCCCCAATCCTTTTATTTTTTTAATCCAGTATTTTTCAATAAAATATTTTTGTCCTCCCTTCTCTGCCCCAGGAGACATTTGGAAATGTCTAGAGACAATTTTGAGTATCCCAACTGGGGGAAGAGTGTTACTGGCTTCGAGTAGCACTAAATACTCTTGCATTTCACAAGCATCTCCCATGATAAAGAATCAAAATGTTAGTAGAATTCTGAGTTTAAGAAACTTTGTTTCAATTGTTCATTCACTTGTTCAACAATAGTTTTTTTTATTTGAGTTTTTAAAAAAGTTAGATAAATGTCAGGGTGGGTGTCAGTGAATCAGCCATCACAAATTGTAATTTTAAATAGGTTTATTTGTACCTAAAATACACAGAAGGAATTAGAACTGTATTATTAAAAACAAAGAGAAAGGTTTCATGAATCAAAGATTTTACTGAGAATTCTAGAATTACAAAATTTTCAGTTTATCCTTTTTTGGACTTTCAACTGCATTTTGGCAATAGATTGTTTTTGAACGTTTTAGATCATTCTGTATGGATGAAGACCCTCTCTACTCCCCACAGATCTTAGTAGTCACTGTCCCTGGTGATGGGAAGATAGATCTGTTTTTCTGCACTCATCTTTATTACTGTTTTTAAAACACTTTTGCAATGAGTAAATATTCCTCTTACAATCAGATAAAAAAGAAGCCTTTTTCTCATAGGAGAGGAGAAAGACTGACTTTTCATAGGAAGAAGAAAGACTGACTTATACAATATTTTTTAACCCACCATTTTTCAAAGCTTCTTCTATTTCGTGTTAATTTAGGAATTTGGGGGCTAAATGAAGAAAAACGAATTTCTCTGTTTTGGGATTTTGTAGAGCCTTGCACATATTAATGTGTACTGGACATCTCCCGGGGAGGCACAGACTGTTTTCCAATCTCATTTCATCACAATGTTTTTCCTCAAGAGACAGAGGGTCAGTCGTGAACAGATAAAAAGAAATGCTACACTTGCTTACTGCTTTATCTACATATTTTCCTAAAAATTCTCACATCAGTCCACATCAACATCCACTGACTCTTCAACCATAACTCCAGTAAATTGACACTCTATGTAGAAATAGAGCAACATGGTAAAGGCCACCCAGCATCCTATACAGGGAGTTTCCAGACTTGATGCAGGGCAACCCTGGTTGTTGGTAGAGGAGCCAGGTGGACAGCCCCAAGGCCGCCTCCTGCTTATGCCAAGCAGCACTGCCTAACTTCTTTATTTACATTTGGATTATATGTAAGGTTTTTACTTTCAAAGGATTCTGTGACTTAAAAATACTTAGAAAAACATGACTTTAGGTAAAATATAAAATAACTTGTGGGCTTTATGAAGGTCCTAATCAGACTGAAAGAAGAAAGCTGAGAGCAATGATACTTGTGTTTTCTTTCAATCTCCTTACACTTTGTCTTCAGTATCTCCCCATCTCCCAACAGGGTGATATTGGGCAGAAAGGCTTGCCTGGCCCTCCTGGCCCTCCTGGCTATGGATCTCAAGGAGTTAAGGTAAGTGAATGTGACTACTGGATCACCTCTCAGTTCACTAGGTTGACAGGAGAAGAGCCGTGGATGTCGTAAAATAGGATTATTATGAAATGGATTTGATGTGAGTCTAGCAATTAAAATTGTACCCAATAATTAGAGACATCTTCCAGGAGCGTAAAAATGGTATAACTACTATAGTTTTATGAGTATTAAATATCACACAAATTGCTTGGTGAAAAATGTAACTGTTCCAATGGTTGGTTTCTAAACTGAATGGAGAACTTATGCCCAAATGTGTATTCTAGCTCTCCCTTACCTTTTGTGACTTCATCTTCCATTTATAGCTCCAGTTTCCCATTTTATAGATGCCAGGGGAATACAATCTGATCTCCGGATAAAGGCGGGGATGGGGGCTGGGGGTTAAAAGCTGTTGGCTTATGGTCTTAGAAGTTCCCCATGTGACTCTCTTGAGCAGCCAGGCTAAAAACCACAACACTAGGCCTGTGTCTGGATTGTCAGTTTGCATAGTCACCTACATTCTGCTTTATTTCTACCTGGCAGTAACAAGCCTATCTAGCAAGGTAGAACTCTCAGAGTCTTTGCCTTCTCTGTAGACAAAAGTTGGCATCTACAGGTTACTATGTGGTTGCAAACAATTCTCTCTTGTACTTTGAATGTGTGTGTGTGTTTATTTATTTTTTTTTAAAGAATTATCTTATTTAAATTTAGGGACCAGCAGGTAGCATAATGGCTATGTCTCTGGACTCCCATGTAGTTGATCGTGGTTCAAGTCCCAGATCCAGTGGCTTAGACTTACCCTGGGCCCATGTGCATGCATGCCCAAGATTCTGAGAGGAGAATGAAAGAGAAGGGATTGTGATGTGACCATCCCCCTGGGGGGTGATTTCTCACTTTCTGTTTCTCTGTCTCTCTCTGTCTTTCTGGCGAGTGCATGAGCCCTGTAGCGAAAACCTCTCAAAAAGAAAGACTATCTTTCTTCCTCCCTTTCTTTTTCTTTTTCTTTTACTTTTTTCTTTTTCTTTTTCTTTTACTTTTTTCTTTTTCTTTTTCTTTTACTTTTTTCTTTTTCTTTTTCTTTTACTTTTTTCTTTTTCTTTTTCTTTTACTTTTTTCTTTTTCTTTTTCTTTTACTTTTTTCTTTTTCTTTTTCTTTTACTTTTTTCTTTTTCTTTTTCTTCTTATTTTTCTTTTTCTTTTTCTTTTTCCTTTTCTTTCAATTTGCCCAGAGAGGTACAGAGTGAGAGAGAGCGAAAGTGAGAAAGCAAAACCACCAGATCTGAAACTCAAACCGCAGTCGGCCATGTGGGAGTCCAGCACCCTTAACCACATTGTCACCTGCCGGCCCCTGTATTTCTTTTTTTACTGGCCCACTCTCTGTCTCTCTAGTCCACAATCAACTATTTTTTATTGTTTTTGTTTTATCATGCTTAAGCTTCAAAACTGAGTGATTGAAATTGATAACTGCATAACTGATACAAACTCTAAAAAAGTAGGAACATTCAAAATAAGCTTTTTCAAAAAGCAGAAATTCTTAGTAAGTAGGAGACAGCAGATATACAAGATTATAAAGGTGACAAGACTATGATGAAATTAAACTTCCTACTCCTATGTGGAGAAAAGCAGCTTAATCAAGAGCACACACATTGAATCTGTGTTAAATTTTCTACTCTATCATGCAATATCTAGGACTTTCATGGCAGGTCTTTAAATAACAGTTGTTCATCTATTGGGCTGAGTAGCCAAGCAAAGGCTAGACAGCAGTTTGTCGACAGCATGTAGAACAAGGGGAAGATAGCTTTCATACTTAATCTTTAAATTCTATGGTTAAAAAATGGTAATGCTCTATACGTGATTTTGTATGAGTTTGCTTAAAACTGCACCTGCGTCAGACCAGCAGTTTTATCACCAACTTGAGCTTGATTCATTACCACTACCTCTTTAAATCTGATGTCAGTTTTCTCCCTCCTGTTATCTGGGAAATAGTTTTTTATTTACACTGGAGCATCTTGAATTGCATTCAGTTCATCCTCACCAACTGTGATTCATCTGGCTCCTGCCCTTTTTGTGCTTTCCAGGTTACATCATGTTTAAATTCCATCCTGAGTGAAACTAGGTTGTGGAACTTGCCATCCTAGAGAAAGATCCAAAAATCAAAGGATCAAAAAATCCTATCAAAAATGAGATAAGCTTTCCCTCAGTTTAGGGTTGTAGCCTGATGCTATTTGGCAGTGAGCCCTGACTGAGGTGGACTCTGCTTTATTTCTACCTGGCAGTAACAAGCCTATCTAGCAAGGTAGAACTCTCAGAGTCTTTGCCTTCTCTGTATACCCTGGGCCCATGTGCATGCATGCCCAAGATTCTGAGAGGAGAATGAAAGAGAAGGGATTGTGATGTGACCATCCCCCTGGGGGGTGATTTCTCACTTTCTGTTTCTCTGTCTCTCTCTGTCTTTCTGGCGAGTGCATGAGCCCTGTAGCGAAAACCTCTCAAAAAGAAAGACTATCTTTCTTCCTCCCTTTCTTTTTCTTTTTCTTTTACTTTTTTCTTTTTCTTTTTCTTTTACTTTTTTCTTTTTCTTTTTCTTCTTATTTTTCTTTTTCTTTTTCTTTTTCCTTTTCTTTCAATTTGCCCAGAGAGGTACAGAGTGAGAGAGAGCGAAAGTGAGAAAGCAAAACCACCAGATCTGAAACTCAAACCGCAGTCGGCCATGTGGGAGTCCAGCACCCTTAACCACATTGTCACCTGCCGGCCCCTGTATTTCTTTTTTTACTGGCCCACTCTCTGTCTCTCTAGTCCACAATCAACTATTTTTTATTGTTTTTGTTTTATCATGCTTAAGCTTCAAAACTGAGTGATTGAAATTGATAACTGCATAACTGATACAAACTCTAAAAAAGTAGGAACATTCAAAATAAGCTTTTTCAAAAAGCAGAAATTCTTAGTAAGTAGGAGACAGCAGATATACAAGATTATAAAGGTGACAAGACTATGATGAAATTAAACTTCCTACTCCTATGTGGAGAAAAGCAGCTTAATCAAGAGCACACACATTGAATCTGTGTTAAATTTTCTACTCTATCATGCAATATCTAGGACTTTCATGGCAGGTCTTTAAATAACAGTTGTTCATCTATTGGGCTGAGTAGCCAAGCAAAGGCTAGACAGCAGTTTGTCGACAGCATGTAGAACAAGGGGAAGATAGCTTTCATACTTAATCTTTAAATTCTATGGTTAAAAAATGGTAATGCTCTATACGTGATTTTGTATGAGTTTGCTTAAAACTGCACCTGCGTCAGACCAGCAGTTTTATCACCAACTTGAGCTTGATTCATTACCACTACCTCTTTAAATCTGATGTCAGTTTTCTCCCTCCTGTTATCTGGGAAATAGTTTTTTATTTACACTGGAGCATCTTGAATTGCATTCAGTTCATCCTCACCAACTGTGATTCATCTGGCTCCTGCCCTTTTTGTGCTTTCCAGGTTACATCATGTTTAAATTCCATCCTGAGTGAAACTAGGTTGTGGAACTTGCCATCCTAGAGAAAGATCCAAAAATCAAAGGATCAAAAAATCCTATCAAAAATGAGATAAGCTTTCCCTCAGTTTAGGGTTGTAGCCTGATGCTATTTGGCAGTGAGCCCTGACTGAGGTGGACTCATATGACCTCTTTAGACATATCGAATTGCCTAGTATCCAGCTGGCAGCAGGGCAGAAGTATTTCCCTCAGGACTCCTACCTCATTTTCCTGACCTTTGGTTGTACCATCACTGCAAGGGTGGGAACTGAAAAAGTGATTTGATGGTGTTCCTTTGAATGATTTTAAGGTTATGCAGTCAGCAAAATCTTCTTTTCTTTCTTTGTTTTGGTAAGAGGGCATGTGTGCTTGCCAGAGAAGGACAAAGAGACAGACAGACAGAGAAAGGAGAAAGCACTTCCCAGTAGGATGTGGTCATACTGTAATTGCTTCTCCATTTCTTTAGCTTGTTGAAATTCGAGGTGTGTATGCACACAGGTCCAGCATAATTTTCAAGCTGCCAGGACTGGAGTTTGAATCACATGGGATCAGGTTACCTTTACTGCCAGGCCATGGGGACAGCATGAAATTTCACTTCTGACATTCAGTTGTTGACTTAATTCCCACCCCTTTCTAAAGACCTTTCAAATCAGTGGAATATGCTTCTCTTGGTGTATCTGCTTGGTAGGCTTTGAAAAAAGCCTTTGTTGCCATAAACTTTCTTTTTTAAGAGATTTTTGCTATAGGGTATGTGTGCTCACCAGAGAGAGAGAGAGCAAACAAGAAATCGCGCCACCTCCCCCTGGGTGCAGGGGTATGGCCACCCTGCAATCCCTTCTCCGTTCTCCTCTTGGGTCTTGGGTATACATGCACATGCACCTGGTTTAAGTTTTAAGTTGCCAGGTCCAATACTTGAATTGCTGTTGAGAGTGCCATGGGAGTCCAGTGATGTAACCATTATACCATCTGCTGGTCCTATGTTGCTACAAACTTTCAACATTCAGACCCAAATTGCACCCTTCCTCTCTATGTCATTCCAACCATAGAGAAGATAAGGGCTTGGGCTGCAATTATGGAAATGATTTGCATCAGCAAGAACCCTTGATTTACATTTGTGGTTCCTCCATCTTCTAGCCTTTTACACTTATACCCAGCAACAGAAAGAGAATGTGTGGAAGGGGCACACCTGCTTCTTAAAAGTCCTGACCAGGGGACCAGCAGTTAGCATAATGGCTATGTCGCTGGACTCCCGCGTAGCTGACTGTGGTTCGCGTCCCGGACCCGGTGGCTTAAAAAAACTCACACCAGGCGCGTGTGTGTGCATGCCCAAGATCCCGAGAGGAGAATAGAGGAGAAGGGATTGTGGTGTGACCATCCCCCCTGGGGGGTGATTTCTCGCTTTCTGTCTCTCTGCCTCTCTCTGTCTGTCTGGCGAGTGCACACGCCCTATAGCAAAAAAAGACCTCTCCAAAAAAAGAAAAAGA